TTCAAGAGTTCTTTAAAAAGTAAGATTCCTCTCAAATAGCAGGATTTAACATTTTGGACTATCGGCCTTGTTTTAAATGTATTTTGACTTTATAAAGATGTTATTCAGATTTTCAAATATGACTGGTAGAATTACCCACAAAATAACTTTCGTCAACACTATACAGAAACCTATTTCAAACATGGACAAAAAAGGAAATCGAAACAAAGGCAACTTTGAAAATAAACTGAATCTATTCATACAAAGAGTAACTATTTACTTAAATAGAAAGGTCTTATTTGTTCTGAAGATTGAAAATTTCACAGAGATAGTATGAAATTCTTGCGTCCATGCAGGTCAGTGTCACGATCCAGAACCATGAAAATATCGCAGGGTGCTAATACGGTCTCCCACAATCCTTTAACTTGTACCAACGATCAATCCCATTACACATTCAAAGGAAGATAAATCCCAACTCTTACTAACTCCAAGTCTCCATTCCACCCATTGGAATAAATATAACTTCACTGTAGGAGAAACCACTACATAAATAAGTACAAATCTTGTATAACGATAGTTCTGGTTTGTAACCTTGGTCTAAGAGTATACGACCTCTCCACTTCCGAACTAAAAAGAAACTAACTTTCTGCAGAACATTTGAGCAAAAGTATAATTTGATCCTTATGGAATGGCGGAATGAATTTCAATCATCGCAATATGAAATTGTTAGACTCTACAAAGCCGATATTAAGTTGATTTTAATGCATATTTTACATGTATGTATTTTTAGTCTTATGCTCTTTTGTTTTTAGTAGTTCCTTTATTTTAACAGATGAGTGGGAAAATAAACCAATTTCCTGAATTAAGAAGAAAAACTCAAACTCACAAATGCTGAATCCGTTTCCAATATGATATTTCTAGATAATAAAATTACAGCAATTTTTATTTTTCAATAACTTTGAACATTCACATGCTGGAAAGTTAAACAATCATGGTGTTATCACACAGCATTGTTAATAATGTGAAGTTTTCACTCGTTCTTTAACCTCAGGTAAGGTTTGGATGATAAAATCCTGGGTTATACATCCATATAATTAAGGCTTGTCTATTCTTTTTCTGGCAATATTTCTTTTTAAATTTCTATATATATTTTATTCATGTTCGAACTTTGTCTTCATGCTATAAGGTATTTTTAAAATGACTCGATACCAGTTTGTTTTGTTTTTCATTGAGAACTGAGAAATCTCACTTGTTCCGTTGTAGCCACCCTTTATTTTCTTAATTTCTCTCTCGTGTTACGATGTCCTGGGAAAAGCTTCTTTATTTTTATATACAGATTTCAACTGGATGCTACTCAAGGAAACAACGACGGGCTATCAAGATTCAGTTTGCAGAACACTGTGGTAAACTCGGTTTGTCCAGTTATACCTCCTTATCCATCCACAAAATACCGCTCTATAGACGGCAGTTGCAATAACCTGCAGAATCCCACCTGGGGCAAGTCTTTTACTTCCTTCGTCCGTCTGTTGCGACCACAATACGCTGATGGTAAGTTAAGTTAGCTTCCCGATTGGGAAGTATCATGTGTCTTATTTCACCTAGCTAGTTTTTCAAGTGGGAAGTCTCGAGACATCCAGCTCATAATTAAACACCCATCAAAGGAGAAAATTACTGTGTGCGCCTAGTGTGCTTACAACCACGCAACATAGTCGTTTTTCTCGAAACGTGCTGCTCCATCAACGACACCGTCAACCTCCAGTACGTCTTCTAAAAAAAGCTTAGTGTAGGCAGCATGCATATTAAGAACGTCAATTGAGTTTTAATAATCTAATCGAGTCATATATATATATATATA